ACTAATACTAATTCCCAACCCTGAATTTAAGTATATTAAAGTTCTCGAAACTTTCGTTTAAACGACTATTTTATAACATATAACCGTCCGTAAAAGGATTCTTATATATTTTATTTAAATAAAAAAGTTTACAAAGTTTTTACAAAGTCTTTTTAGTTCCGTCGCCGACTACGTTAAAACGTATAAACGATAATAAAACTTGTTAAAACCTTCCTTTCCGCCTTATGTAAGATCAGAACTTTAGCCGAGCTTCTAACCCCCTTCGGTTATAAACGATGACTTACCGATTCTCTTTCTCTTTATAAAGTAGTAAAGTAAGTTAACTTTATAAATATATAAAGGGTAAGTAAGGAGGTTTTTAATAATACGTCGAGTATTTTTATTATTAATATTAACTCGAACGATTTAAAAGACGAGGTTACCGATAAGTAAAACCGTAATATTAAGGATTATATTAAACGTCTTTTTTTAATTTAAAAGTAAAGGGTATAATAAAATATAAACTTTATTAATAGTTTAAATATACTTTTACGTTTTTTTATACGGTTAATCGACGATATCGATAGTTTATAAAAGTAGTGTACGATACCTTATACTTAAAATATATATAAATATCTTTAAATGATATTTTACCGTTTATTTATAAATAAAAGTTTTAGTAATATAAATAATAAGTAATTAAATAATATAATAATAATTCTTTTACTTTAAATACTTATAACCTTATAAAAATACATTAATAAATATTATAATATAAACGTTTTTTAACTTTAAAATATATTAAAAAAGTATTAAATACGATTAAAATAATAAAAAGTAATATTATAATATTAAAAAATATAATTTTAATTTAAAATTATTATACTTCGGTTATTACACCACTTTTATAAAAAAAATTGAAAATAAAAATAAAAAAGGGTACTAAAAAACAACACGTAATTAATATATCTATAATATAAAAATAATTTTCTTTTACTTAATACAAAACGTGGTTATTTTAACGATATTCTTCGCGATATATTTTTACAGCCTCACTTTTTTGACGCGCGGGTAATCGCGCGCGTTCCTGACGGATTGATCACATGACTATTTTAGTCACTTTTGTCACATGATCTGAGTTTTTTATTGTACGATTATGGGACGTCCCTTCGGCCATGAATCGATCATGACAAATAACACAACGTAATTTAGAATTTACGATACTAATATTTTTGATATGGTGCGAGACCGGTCAACAGTTGTATCAGACTAAAGGAGTGAAGTTAAACGTCTTTAATATCATTAGATATGTCATATAAGTAACACAACTTTACCACGCTGTAAATCGCCGCCCACCAAGATACCCGTATGTTACAATCGCCATAACAAAAATACATCATAACCATCGAACCCGATATATCACCGCATAAACCGAAACGCAAGAACATGTCATGACCCTAACCACCAAACCCGTACAAGGTACGACCTTGCCGCTTCAGGGCGTAGACCACATCAAGAGACGTAACAGTCTTTCGCTTCGCGTGTTCGGTGTACGTGACAGCGTCGCGGATAACACCCTCAAGGAATGACTTCAGAACGCCGCGTGTCTCCTCGTAAATCACTGTATAAAGTCAGTAAATGGACAAATCACGTTTGTGCCTCAAGAGAACTTACTAGCAGAAATCCGCTTCACACCACCACGGCGGGCGAGACGTCTAATGGCGGGTTTCGTGATACCCTGAATGTTGTCACGGAGGATTTTCCGGTGACGTTTCGCGCCGCCCTTGCCGAGGCCCTTACCGCCCTTACCGCCTATATTATGTTAGTATCGCCCAAGTAAGACACGAAATCCCGAATACCAAGATATTATACTTACGACCAGTCATATTGATGTTTTGGACGTGTTAAAAAAAGAATAGAAAGGCAACTAACTAGTGTCGGAGGATACTGAGGATAAATAAGACGTAACTTATGGTTATGTGAATAGTCGGTGCAGGCGGACGGATTGTCTTTAAATGTGTGATATGCTGAGGACATGGTTGATCTGAGCGGGGCCGAATCAGTGGCTGATTCGATGTTGTTGCCTGTAATGCACAGACCCACAATGACACGAATAAACAAACCAAAACCAAAGCAGACACGCGTCTGCGCCAGGGCGACAGTGGGGTCGACAAACAATACACAAAAGAAGGCCGTAAGTCTTGGAATCAGTCCAATCAGAAATCAGAAATCAGAGCACATAAATATTGGAATTTGTTTAGCACTGCAATACAGCGAAACGCCGAAAATAATAACGTATGAAGTAGGGATTGTGGTAGCCAAGATCGTAGATGTGAGAGATGCGAGTAAAAGTTTAATAGTGGACGTTTTGTATTACTATGTAGAATTACTTTCATGATATTATTAAGTACTGCTCATCACGGCCTATTCAACAGTATGTTGCACACGTCGGTTTGGATCACATCACTGGCAAGGCGTCAACAGAACGGAGAAATAAATGTCACTGTCTAATAGTCCCGATGGGGAATCTATGGTTATACCTCGTCTGCAACTAGGAAATACAACTACACAGAAAAAGAAAACAAAATGAACAATCAAGAAACAGTGCTTCACAGCATACATTTACTGCCAAACCGCGCCTGTTGTCACGTTCGGTAAATCGCGTTCTCGTCTAACATAGCCCCTAGAGTGAATGAATCCTTAGCCTTGGCCACCTGTGCCCCAAGGTTACTGCCATTTGTGAAAATAGCCCAAAGAAGACAAAGCACCAATATTTAACGCTAGTGCAAATCGGGCAATCAAAACACGAAAAATATCAATGTACGCCAAGTCACAAGTCTCCCAATAAAAATGAAAGACCAAGGACCCACTTTGTCAAATCAGCCTGCGCTACAATCTTCACAAACGCGGCCTACTTAAGTCTTTGGTCGCCCACCCCCCACTACACCTAATCTTTCCTCTTACAACATTATCAATCCGCCACCAATCATCAGCAACAACAAAACTTTCATCGGTTTTGTCAATTTCTTTTCTTGTACCACACAAAAACATCAACGTCTACAATGGCTCGCACCAAGCAGACCGCTCGGAAGTCCACTGGTGGCAAGGCTCCTCGTAAGCAGCTTGCTTCCAAGGCTGCCCGCAAGAGTGCCCCGTCTACCGGCGGTGTCAAGAAGCCCCATCGTTACAAGCCCGGTACTGTCGCTCTCCGTGAGATCCGCCGCTACCAGAAGTCGACCGAGCTTCTCATTCGCAAGCTTCCGTTCCAGCGCCTGGTAAGCAAGCACACATGTGTATTTTGCCCAGCCCCGTACATCATTACTGACGAGCACCAGGTCCGTGAAATTGCACAGGACTTCAAGTCCGATCTGCGCTTCCAGTCGTCTGCCATTGGCGCCCTCCAGGAGTCGGTCGAGTCTTACCTCGTTTCTCTTTTCGAGGACACCAACCTGTGCGCCATCCACGCCAAGCGCGTCACGATCCAGTCGGTAAGTTGGTGTGGTGTTGAATTATCCATAATGTGTTGAGCTATTTGCTGACAGCCCGTATAGAAGGACATTCAGCTGGCCCGTCGCCTGCGCGGCGAGCGCAACTAGGCCATCAAGCGACGTGGTTTCAGATTGTGCTTTCGTGATGATTGGTTCACATTCGGACGGGGTTAATATCACAAGGCGTTAATGTTTGCGTTGGTTTATTTCTGGTTTTATTCTCGAGGGCTGTACAATAGCCGGATTGCAGCTGGGTCGGCGGCCCGGACAATTATTGATTTATGAAAAGACTATCGATCCGGATTCAAGTGCCACTGTGTTCCGAATGGTAGGAGCGAGATCTGAAAGACGGGGAAATACCTGTCAGTATGTGCTCAAGCGACTGCAGAGTTGTAAATGACTTGGGGCGGAGATTTCACAATCGAAACGTGGCAGATGTGTATGGACGCGAGAGCTCCTTGTAAGCGCGTATTTGCGCTGTTTCTCCGTTCAGAGCATTAGGACATTTGACAATGGGCAGATAGATTCCTGCGAAGGCTACTAGGCCTCGCGAGGCGTAACCACTTGGATTTTTATTGGTCCTTCCATTTACACTGTCACCCCCTGGCCAGAAAAACCAAGACTGTCCACCAATTTGGCCAATTTTATTTATCCCAAAATGCGCACAAAAATCACACCAGAACCGCAAATAAACTTGCAGATAAGTAAACACAAGTAAGGCCTACATCTGACTTTTTTCTTTTTTTTTTTGCGATTTTTTCACTGTCTTAGTCGAGTAGTTACGCTCGAACAGCGTAGTTTTGCGGTTTTAATTATTTTGGCCAGGGGGTGACTGTGTACAGCACCGCTCGCCAGCCACCTTCGCCAGGTCGTTTTAGTCCTAGAAACTGTGTTGCTTGGCCAAGATGGTCGACACCCCAGAAGCCCTCTCTCTCACCCTTTGGATTTGTGCAGATCCACGGTAGACGAAATGCACCGTCGACAAAGGCTTTATTAGTGTCGTTTAATAAGATGGCTTTACCCTCAGTGTTGACTTTGTCGAGAACTGTTTATATCGTTAGTCTTATTCGAGCTACGCGAAAAGTCGCTGTTGTTCCGCATATCCAGCTTACCGCGCTTTGAATCGATTTCTCCAAGCACACTCCGTAAAATGCCTTGAAGAACCTCAGCATCATGAACTGGCTGATGTTCGACCCAGAGCCTGTGAAACAGCGCATCAAGCACCCTTATGAGCCGACCCTGTCCGCTATCTCCATCCATTATTGCGATGGCAGTGGCTGCTCGCATGGCCATTAGTGTCCGCGGGGGGGAAGGTGCATCGTCCTTCATCGGTATACCGAACATGCGACCCCAGCGGAGCCTTTCCGTGACAATCCAACTATCTTTGTCTACATGTACCCTGTCAGTAAATGCATAATGCTATTGGTGAGTGGCTTCCTAGACTGCTACTCACTTTTTATGTATATCGGCGCGGTATTACCACACTATTATAGACGGTCAGCCTGGCGTCTGTTGTAGGAGAGTTGCACATGTGACTGCTTCAATGATTAAAGCGGCGGATTGTGTACCGTTTTCATAAGCCCGCCCAGTACGATCGGGACATGCTGGATAGAGCATTCTTTGAATGTGCTGTCGTTCTATGGGATAGCAGAAGCGGATGGTTGCTTGTTAGTTTATTGCATAAACACAAAATCCTCTACACCCCAAGGCCAGCTTGACGACTTACTCGGAGAATGTAGTACGCCTCGTAGGCGAATGGGCTCACTATGTCGACGTAAAGCGTTATCCGGGGACGTGATGCCAGTTTTGTTTCTACGAAGACTTCGTTTAAAGGTAGATTAAAAGTGTGATTCATTGATTATATGTTTTATAAGTTTTGCCGCGGTGCACGGAATGGGTAAGGATTATGAATACATGTATGTACATATATTAATTGTATTTGCCCTTTGACTGAAAGTGTCCTAGATGCAGCATGGGGTTAAAGTATTGTTGCCGGCAAACTGGAGGACGAAAGAAGAGAGATACAGAGGTAAGCAGCCAATGACCGCACAGTTCGCACCCATTTCATTACACTTGTGTTTTAAGTCTCTACCTTTCACACGAAACTCCGACCGTCCACAATGGTGCTGTAAATGGCCAGGTATATACAATTAGACAGTTCGAAACAGGCGTAGTTGAAACAAAATTTTGTACCATACATCGCACCATCTCTCACTTTTGAAAATCAAAAAACAGGATGTCAATCCTCAGACTTGTACAACGTCCTTTGGTTACTAAACCAACCTTCCCCACCCCAAATCTCCGTTCTTTCGCCGTTTCTTTTAACCTAGGTCGTCCGAAGCCCTTGCATCGGGTCGAAGTGTTGTATTGGAACACTGGTCAAGACATCAAATGAGCCTGTTCCTGTCTTGCCCAGTCTGCCCATCACAATGCGGCTACTCGGGGTAACGAGGCCGTCCCAGTCACCGTCGACCAATGCGTCCTTCAAAAATGCAAGTGTAGTCTCAAAGCTCATCTTCGTAAAAGGGCTCACATTTCCTTTCAAACCGTAGCGGTTAAACGGCATAAAGCCACCACCACGGGTCATGAAATCGCCAATTAGATTGAGATGACGGTTGTCCACACCGATACCGTGAGAGACGAAAACTGTGCTCAATTCTCGAATGATGGTGTTCCGGCAGGCTTCGACACCGTAAACTTCTAACATGGCCACAATGTCGTTCGTGGCCAACTTGTTGGGGTCGAAGAAATCGCTAAATTGCTGTATGGTTCGGATATTGGTGCCCTCCGTGTGCACGACCGGGACCTTAACTTCTATCCCAGTACGCGAGTCCTTCACAACCTCGTCGGCAACATATGTGCAAGACTTCACCCCGGGGATTTGGCGTACTACCGATCGTCGCACCGCATCTTCCACGACACTGAGCATCAGGATTTTGGGAGAGTCGGCAGGTAGTTCAAGCGCAAACTCACACCATTCACCAGCATTTTCGTCTGCACGGAAACGTGTGATATTGGTGTTGCCACTTTTGACCCTGGCTTGGCGAGCCTCCGAGCCACCCTGTTCCGTGTCGCCTTGCACATCCCCACCTGGTTGCGCACTATCTTCTTCGTCGCTTGCCTCGCTATCACTTGCACGTTCATTTTCGCCTGCCTGAGCATTGTGAGTCATCACAGACGGTGGGCTCCCCACGTAGCCTTCGTCGTCGGGGAGATCTTCTTCCGTCGTGACATCCCGCTCCATGCGAATACGAATGTCATCATCCTCCTCGTCGTTTGGTCCGTATGAAACAGCCTCGTTTCGGTTCCGGCGCTGCTTAGCACTCGTTGCATCGTTGTCACCATCGTCATTGTCATCATCGCTGCCGTCGTCCCTTTGTTCATCGTCGCCATGGCTATCTTCGTTACCAGTGCGAGAGACTTCGATCACGCCTGCCTTGACACCGACGTCAGGTATGCTGGCGCTAGATTGACCTTTCTCATTCTGCTTCGTCGCCTTGGTGATGAGCTTTCGCAGCACCGGTAGAAGCCTCTTTTCAACCGTATCCAAAACATCGGACGCCTGAACAGCATATATTGCCTCATATTCGTCCGAGGCGAAAAAATCGAGCCGAACGTCGAATATCTTTGCATATGGATGGCCAATGCCCCTGCCGACACGCTCTTTGACTGCTATCTTGTCGAGAATATGCGAGAGTGGAAGCATACCAATAGTTTTCGCAAAATGTTCACCTTCCTGATGTGTCAAGTCCGGTCGAAGAACTAGGGTCATCGCCGGTGTTGAAATGTTGGCACTGGCAGTCATCAAAATTTCTCTGAGACGAGGAATACCCAGTGTGACATTCTTTGCGGAATGCCCTGCCAAATGAAATGTGTTCAAGGTCATTTGCGTCGAGGGTTCACCGACAGATTGCCCGGCGACAATGCCAACAGCCTCGCCAGGCTCGACCTGCGACCGGAGGTACTTCGCAGCAAACACCCTCTCTACCGATCGTTTCCCCATTGAGGCTTGATCGAACGGCAGACGTGAAGTAGACTGGTCATCGCCTCTTGATTCCTTGTCCTTAATGAGGCGGTCCTTGTTCTCGCGGACATAGGTTGACATCAAGCCGAAAAATTTCTCCGACATCGCAAAAGCGTGCTTGGCAGGATTGACCAAAGCATTGACCGGTTCGTCGGCGAAACCTGCGTTCACGTTCGATCTCTTCAGCATGCGTTTACTCTGCTTGAAAAATTCGTCCTTGTGCTCAAATAGCCCCGCTGTCCGAGGGTCGGAAAACTTAAAATCAGACATTTCGGATTCGAGGTTATGCAGCACAAAGCTGAAGTCGGTGAGATATTTCTGCTTGGTGACGTCAAGCCCATCTTCGCCATAGAGGAATTGAACCAGGCTACCGTCGGAGTCACGAACGGATGAGTCGTAAGCCACTTCGAGACCCTCCATTCCTTTGATCAGGCATCGTTGAAGATAGCCCGACCGCGATGTCTTTACTGCTGTATCAATGAGACCCTCACGACCAGCCATATGATGAAAATAGTATTCTTGCGGACGAATACCGGTAAGAAAGCGATTGACAATATAGCCACCGGCTCTCAAACTTGTGTCAAATTCGGGAAAGCATGGTAGAGACTTCCCGCTAACCATGAGTGGGACCCGTCGGCCTTCCAGAACCTGCTGGCCAAGATTGCAAGAAATCAAGTTTGCGTTCACATTGCCTCCCTTGGCACCAGAGATGGTCATGGCTTGCATGTGGTTATGGGGAAACGGCTTTTCAAGGCCGACCGGGAGACATGCCTTGGTCACGCTGCTTGAAACGCTAGCACTCATCTTGTTCATTAACAAGTCGAGGCCTTCCTGCTTGCTGTCGTCTCGCATGACACCCTCAAGACGGCGAAGAAGCTCGGGATCTTTATCTGTCGGCGCTTGGTCTTTGAGGCTGACATAGGCTGCAGCAACTCCTAGCCCAGCATCTTGAGCTCCATTCAGCTCCCGACTACGGTTGGCCTCGCCTTCCGGTGTCAACCGCAGGTCGTCAATTCCACAAGTGAAGGCCCGCATGTTGAGTAGTCGTGTTAACAAACGACCCATGCAGCTCAAAACCTTCCCAGCAACCGAGGCGCCGTAAACTTCATGGACGGCATGAATAAAACCGCCAGAGCTCGGTCCAAGGTGAGCTTTATCGAGAATCCCGGAGATTAAGACGCTGTCTCGGAACTCAATATAACCCTCTTCCGTATGTGAACCCCACCTATTTTCGGGAACTTGACTTTTGCCGCTCATCCAAAGATGAGCACAGTTTGGCGGCTTGACGTTCTTTAGGATCGTTGTGATCACCTGTTTACCAGTCCATCTAGGTACAGGCTTTAAGACGGCAGGACTGACAAGTTCAATGCGGTCTCCCAAAATGTGACCGCTCTCAGGGCGCAGTGCGCTATAGACAAGATCCTGGTATGTCCCTTTGTGGAAAAAGGTGTCCTTGCCGCAGAGTGAGACTGAGATGGAAATGTGATCCTGAATGAGACCTCGCAGTGGTTTGCCTTGTGTGCCAGACAAATATTGGTGATCTGTGTCCGCAAGCTGTAATGCCTCAACACGTGCGATTTCGTTTTGTGGGAAATGCATGTTCATCTCATCACCGTCAAAATCCGCGTTGTATGTGTTGCAATTGGCATAATGCATACGGATGGTTTTCTCACCGGGTAAAACTCTGACTCGGTGACCCATAATGGACGGCTTATGAAGGGTGGGCTGGCGGTTCATAAGAACCACATCACCGTTGCTAAGGTGCCGATAAACTTTCTTTCCCCTCATGGTGGAACTTCCGCTGTTGGAAGGCGTTAGGAGCTGGTTTGCGAGAGCCATTCTGTCTTCCAAAGATTTCCCTCTCAGATTGACCACCTGCCCATTGTCATTTTCGATTGCAGACGCCCCAGGCCAAGTGTCTGTGCCATTGATAACGGCCTGTTGAAGTTCCTTGAAGTTGTGACTTGTCACGGGTTCCGGGTATGTAAGCTTGCGTGCAAAAACGGGCGGGACACCAATCTCGTTTGTTTCGATGTTTGGGTCAGGTGAGATGACGCTGCGGGCTGCGAAATTGACGCGTTTACCCATCATGTTCTTCCGGAAGAGCCCCTCTTTCTTTTCCAATTTTTGTTTGATGCCGTCCTCGATCCGCTTGGCGTTCTGACCTTGGGCTGGGTTTTTGGTACTGTCTATAAGGGAGTTAACAGAATTCTGGAGTTCTGACCAGGCCTCGTGGAGAGACAAAATATCCCTTGAGAAACGACCTGGGGTCTTTGTTGCTGCGTCAGATATCTCGCGGTGGATCTCAGCCACGCGAAAAGATGCTCCAAGGATCGCTTTGTAAAGGGAATTTTGCTGGGCTTCGGTTACTTGTGCATCGCCGGTGCGCGCCTCTGGCCGATACTTGTTCGGGGGGACGAGCAGGGCTTGAATGAAAAACATATCCGGTGTTGACTGCGCGTGACGACCATGGGGCCTGGAGTTGTAGATGAGTTGCAGAACGTCCTGTTCGTTGGCGAAGAGAAGACGTAGCCGCTCAAGGACCTCCTGGGTGCTAATGTAGCGTTGCTGGAGCTGTGGAGATGTCGGCTTGATTGTAAACGGTTTGTGAACAACGTTGCCATATTCATCCAATGTATCCGCGTGCACGTCGCTCCCATCCTCGCTACCAGAATCGAGACTGATGTCGGCAATACCTTCGTCAGAAACGGTGGTATCGTTAGACCGCTGGCTCTTTGGCCGAAGCGTCAGGGCATCGCGAGCCTTAAATTGTCCTGCCGCCATCTTTGCCTGCTCCTTGGAGTTCAGTGGTTTTTCAAATATTTTAACAAAGCGGTCTTTTCGGTAGCTAGGCGAAATGCCTTTGCAGCGAGCACACTGTCTTCCAACAACAATATCTTTTAAAAATTGCTGAACAAGTTCTCGGCGAAGCTCGGAAGCACCCTCGTGTTTACCCTTGCGGATATCGCCGGTCAGAACTCTCTGGTTTTGCAGTGCCTGCTGTACGTAGATGCTTCTCGCTCGAGACACATTGTCGATCGCAGACTTGCCGTCGTCGTCGCACTCCATGTCGACCCGTGGGAGACCGGGTAATGCTAGGCTATGGAAGTCCTCTCCAATAGCATCGATTTTCATCGCTTCCGGTAGAAGACCGTATTGAAGCAGCCGGAGTTTACAGGCATATCGGTTGATTTCCTTTGGTGGTAACCGGAAGTGGTGACAGTAGATACACTCAGCGCGGAGTAGTCGTAAGACCTGGTCCATGAAGACTGGGTGGTAGACAGGGACCGGAAGATCGATATGGCCCGCATGGCCGGGACACATGGACTGACCAAGGTTGCATGTCGTACACCTGCGAATAAATCATGGTTAGCAGAAGCAATATGGAGCGATGGATAAATTCCGAGGAGCACAAACAGGGAGTCACCCCAAGAGCCTAGAGCAGGGTCATAAAGTCCCCCGGGTACAGGGTTTAGAAGTGTATCAAAAGTGCTGTCGTTTTCTATTCTTCGGACAGAGGCTGCTCGAATCTCGTCGGTTGCGAGGAAAGTGAACTCGACACTTTCTACCGATGAGGCGACAGGTTGCGAGACGTTCATCGTGTTGCGCCTCCCAGTGCGGGCGGACAGACGGGAATTGTGGTGAGTTCAAGAAATTATTGACTTTAGAAGAGGGTCAAGTGAGAAGAAATTGAGGGATTTGTGTTTGGTGAATCAGGTAACTCGGGGGCGAGGTGATTTTAGTTGTGTTGTTTGCCGGTTGCTTTTCTTCGTTTTTTACAACTCCTTTGATATTTTCCTGACAGTCTCCATAAATAAAAAATTTGGCGGTGGCCGTCGGCAGAATTTTGGAACTTTAGTAGGTTTCTACCCAGTGGAAATCTAATGAATTATGGGGCACGGCCAGACCAACTTAACCCGTGTCTGGCCCGGATAACTCCGCATCGATTAATTACTATCTTGTTATGGTTGGAGAAACAGACGGTGTCCGTTCAGTCCGTTTCGTCTCAACGGATGGCGCGACCATACATGACGAGCCGCGAGGATCATGCTGTAGGATTCTGTAGTCGATATATTCCAACACGTACTATATTACTATTACAAGACGCATTGTGGCGTGTATAGGACTTGCGTTACATAATTGCCTTGTCGTTGGTCGCTGGGCACAACTTTAATGTGATTTACGGATCCACGTACACGTGTAATATGTCGTACACTACGACATACAGTTCTTACTGTTTTCTAGGACGTGAAACGCCGACGAAAGACGTATCCCTGCAGCGAACACCCTTGCATCTCCTATTGTTAACCTGACTCTGGGTGTAACTGGCTCGGTAATATGTCTGGGCGTTCGGGTCCGGCTTTGAGGTCATAACTCGCCGAGCCCCACCCTCCCGCAGGCCCGCCATGCGACGTTGGCACAACGTACTCTGTCGGACGTTTAACTTTGACAGAGCAACGCAAAGTAAGCGCAGCGTTCGGTGCAGGTACAGTTTGTAATCCAGGCTCCTGTGTTCTGAAGCAGGCGGACTGGTTTAATCGCAGTTTTATTTTCAATTAGGTTCTGATTTAACTGAAGAACCTTATCTATTTGTCTTTGTCGCTTCCTTCTCGCCTTCTTTTCGGGTTTCACCCGGACTGTGTCATTTGTTCCGGGATGGCCCCCTGCAGCCAATACTGGTTCTTCCGCGCCAATCTGACGCGGGAGATGTCGACTCTGCCTGTGTGATTCAGGAGGGATACAGAGAGGGACGGAGACGGAGATTGGGCCACCCCGGTATTGTGACCGCTCGCAATCGTGCTTCACGGCGGTCATTACTGCCGCTGTCGATATTCTGACTGGCTGTGGCTTTTGTCCTCACACCATGAAAAAGACACTGCATTATTCTTTACCCCCCTCCCCCAAAACAAAAGTAAACGAAAGCAGAAGAAATAAAACTAGAAATAAAAATAAAATAAAGACGAATATAAACGGGTGACAGGGGACAACAACCTGAATATCAACTACATAAAATACATGCCCGGGCACGGCAACCCAACGTTCAGTCGATGGATGCGCCCCGATACTCGAGCGGCAGCTACCGAGCAGGCCACACCTCGCTACGACTTGCATTACCGAGGATTTCCGTGTGCAAGTCGAGTGTACCAATGTCGAATCGTTTAGAACAACCATCATCCATATGCCTACAGTTCAAGTGTTAGCTCGCCAATGTCATATATGTGGCATTACCGGACAGCCTTCCAGTGTCATATGCCTCACTATTCCCCAATGGCGGCGTGGTGTAGGACGTGTGGTAGTTTCCCGGGTAGCGAGGTCAAGAGACGTTTATCTTGCTCACCTTCGAAGGGTGTCCTTCCGGGAGAAGAGACGACCGCAGTAGTCACACCTGTGATTTCGTTCTTTCATGTGGACACTCTGGTGGTGCCGCTGAAGGTCCGTCTTGCGTACGAACCTCTTGCCGCAGTCGGGCACTTGACAGGGAAAGGGATACTCTCGTTTTTCATTGTGCGTCTCCATGTGTGCTTTATAGTTGTAACTTCGACTGAACAACTTCCCGCAGCCCTTCACCCCACATTGAAAATTTGCCTCCTCCCTTGTCGTGAGCCGCCTGGGCTGCCGGTGGGTCCGAACAACATCACTTTGCTGCACCGGCACAACAACACTTTGTGGCCGATGTGGGTAACTGTCCGAAGTGTCATATAGCCGGCCCGTTGTCGGTGTGTTCTGGTTCCAAACGGCGATGGGGTCGCCGGAAACAAATCCGCATGGGTCGTCGGTGTTACTACTGGTACCGTGGACTTCGGCCGACTCGATTTGGTACGGTAGATGACCGCTGTGCCGTTGTGAAAAAGATGATGCGCTCGTCACACGAGCACGAGCTGGAAAAGCAACTTCAATTTCGTCGCGGAGACGCGTCTGTGTCACAGGACGTGGCGTAGTTGTCAATGTAGACGGGAATGAGACATGCAACGCGGATGTGGGCCTTAAAGGAGACTGTACAGTGGCAACCGCACGCGATAGCGAGAGAGTTATTGGCATCGTCCTGCGTGTCTGTTGTAGTCCGTGGTATATGCCAGGACAACCAAAGGAATCGTACTCTATGGGCAAGGCAGTAGAGGGACCAGATGATGTACCTGGTACGTGTGCTGTTGACCTAGGATTCCAGTCTGGCTGGCTTGTCGTGTCGAGGGTGAACAGGGGAATATCTGAGTCCTGGGTTGGCGCCATGGAACAAAACAGGTCAACTCCATATAGTGACGAGACGCTGTGGTGTCGAGTAAAAGTGTCAGGAGAAGGATGCCCTAGAGGCGAGGTCTCAGAGGGGCAGTTTGACTTTGGCGAGGAGTTGGGAGAATGACTTAACGAGGGTGTGCGGTCCATGGCGAGGGGTGCTGGGGTGATGGTATTGATGCGGACAGAAAAGGAGAGTATTGCATAGAGCTGGAAAATGCGGCCACCGACCTTTTTATATAAGACCCAGTCTTGTGTGTGCTAAGCATATGTATTACAACCAGGTAGGCTAGGCCCGGACAGGGAGAAGGCACGGGGGATAAACATGAAAAATATGGATGTAGAAGTTTAAGGAATGAGAACGCAGATACGAGGGCCTCCCGTAAATCGAGAAAGGAGGCAACCGGCGTAGTTGAGAAGGGGGGAATGAAACCGCGTATATAAACCAAACAACATGAAAGCAACGAAAAAGAATCGAGATGGTGAAGGGACTACGAAATGAGGAGAAGAGAGAATATGTATATGAGAAATAAAGTGACATCTAGTGGGATGAACAAGGAAGGAATAAAAAAAAAGGGGGGGGGAGAGGAATAAACATCGTGTTGCTACTAATGCTCTATGGCTGTTCGTGATAGCTAGCACTCGATGGTGGCAGTGATCGAATCGAACAGGAGGAATATGCAAATACGCATAGCCAACGGGAGTAGCGAGGCTGCAACCAACGGGTTGGAAAGGAGCCTGAGCTGCGACCACTACCTAATACATGATCTTATACATGCACGCAGGCGATATTTCGATCTTTCACGAGAGTGGTGAAGGACCCAGAATAAAGTCCCAAAAAAACCAGGCCATACGCACCCAGTGACTGGATACCAGTAAACAAGGCAGGATGTGCACATACACTGGCGTAGACATGGCTGATAAATGCGGTTGCACTGTGCGTATTCACTGAAGAGAACGCTGGTGCTGAAAGCGGCAGGAGTTGAGAGGAAAGTCATGTACCGGGTAATACTAAGGGTTGCATCGCCACAGACATACCGATATATCACTGCGCCAGTACTTGGAGGATGCGTATATTTAGAACCTCAATGACATGGGAGCCTGGATGACAGACTTGACGGAGAGGATGTGTGTGTATGTGTGGAGAGTCGGAACGGAGGGGGGGGGTAAATCCGCATTATTTTGTACGAATAAGGCAATGGCTGTTGGAGCGTCGCCAACGGTAATATGTCAAGATATATACAGAGAGCGACCATCAAATATAGACCGACGCCCATGAGCTAATAGCACATAATCTCACACCCTATGAAGCGCTGGCTGCCTGTGTAGGATTTTGAGGGCTAGCAGGTGACAGGTGATGGCCGACTTGGTTCTGACGGACAGGTTGGTGACGGGGATCCAGTCAGAAAGGGAGATCGAGGGGAGAGGAAGAGAGAGAGGAACTGGGCGCGGGACGGCACAGAGAGAGAGCGGTTGAGAGGTCACGCATTACAACAGACCTTGCACTTGCATAATGAACCCCTGCCAAAGGGACGAGCTTCCAGACGTTCGTGCACAAGGTACGTGTGATGAAGTCAGGCTTATACTGTTTTCAGTGCAGTATTGCATGTCGGTTTGCAGCGCGGGATGGGCCAAGGGCGGTTGTCTCACGGAATCCTCAGTGCTTTTGAGAGTTTAGAAAAAATGAGTGTCTAGCAGACGTACTTCAGCCAGATGCCCTGGCACATTTCCGTTGTGGCTCCCATTTCATGTTGGATCCCGGTGTGCAGGGACGATGGGGATTCAAGTCAATGCACCATTGCTGTTTTCTGTCTTTGCTAGACTGATCGAGAGAAGAG